ACTCTGCATCAGGTGGCCAAAGTATTGGAGTTTCAGCTCCAGCATCAGTCCCTCCAATGAACACCCAGGACTGATCTCCCTTAGGATGGACTGGTTGAATCTCCTTGCAGTCCAAGGGACTCTCAAGAATCTTCTCCAACACCACAGTTCAAAAACATCAATTCTTCTTTGCTCAGCTTTCTTTATAGTCCAACCCTCACATCCATACATGACTACTGGAAAAACCATAGTCTTGACTAGATGGACATTTATTGGCAAAGTAATGTCTCTGCTTTTTAATATGCTATCTAGGTTGGTCATAACTTTCCTTCCAAGGAGCAAGCATCTTTTAATTTCATATTATTAGACCTATGCTAAATCAGTTAATTCTGTTCTTGCTCTCTGTTTTCTAATAGAAAATGATGACAATAATAATGGAGTAAGCCTCTCGATGAGGCTGAAGGGAGTGAAAGTGAAGGAAGAGAGTGAAAGAGCCAGCTTAAAACTAAATTATTAACACTAAATTTTTTTTAAAAATTAAGATCATGGCCTCTAGTCCCATTACTTCGTGGCAAATAGAGGGTGAAAAGATGGAATTAGTGACAGATTTCCTCTTCTTGGGCTCTACAATAACTGCGGATGGGCACTGTAGCCATGAAATCAGAAAACATTTGCTTCTTGGCAAGAAAGTTATGACAAACCTAGACAATGTGTTGAAAAGCAGAGACATTAATTTGCTGACAAATGTCCATAAAATCAAGTCTATGGTCTTCCCAATGGTCACATATGGTTGTGAGAACAGGGCCGTAAAGAAGGTAGAGTACTGAAGAATTGATGCTTTCGAACTGTCATGCTGAAGAAGACTCCTGAGAGTCCCTTGGACAGCAAGGAGATCAAGCCAGTCAATCTTAAGGGAAATCAACCCTGAACACTCATTGGAAGGACTGATTCTGAAGCTGAAATTCCAATATTTTGGTCATCTGATGCAAACAGCTGACTCATTGGAAAAGTCCCTGATGCTGGAAAAGACTGAGGGCAGAAGGAGAAGAAGGAATCAGAGGATGAGACAGCCAGATGGCATCACCAATGTAATGGACATGATGGCGAGGGACAGGGAGGCCTGAGTGCTGCAGTCCATGGGATAGAAAAGAGTCGGACACGACTGGGTGACTGAACAACAGTAAAGCAATATTAAGCAAAAACTATCCTTTCTGGCCAAATTCAAGGCTAATTGCAATACACTTGCTGATTTTTCCAAGTGTATTATACCTTTTCCCCAAAGATTATGAGTGTTCTGAACCTTGCAACCACCCTATCTAACTTATTAGAAACAGTGCTGTCTGATAAAATTTTCTGTAAATAGGCAAATGTTCCCTATCTGTTCCATCTAATGAAAAGTTTAAATGTAGCTAATAGCCACTGAGGAACTCAAATATTCATATTATTTAATTAATTTAAGTTGAAGTAGCCACATGTGGCTAATGGCTACTGTATTAAATAGTATTGCTGTAGTAGGTATGTGCTATGCATCTAAGATTATTTGTTGATTGTTTACCACCACAGAGATAGGAGATTTATTAAAACCAAGGTAAATGCATATTTTCTTTAGATGTCTAAGATTCTAAAAGTCACATCACTTCTCAAAGCTCTAAAAAGCTATGGTTTTCTTTCCTACCTGTGAGAAGGAAATTAAAAAGATGAAGCCAGGTCTAGTCTCCCTTGTGTTAGTTTTCACTATTTAAGAGCATTTGCAGAAGTCAACATCTCTAGTCACCATTTTTTTTTTCACATTGGGGTGGAAATATTTACACACTGGTAGAAGAAGGCATAAATAAAATTATCCTCTTTCCAATGTTACTTTATTTTATGTTAAAGTGGCATAATTTCAGTAATAGAAAAAAAACCCTGTTTACTCATTTTTATAGAGATCTCAAACCTTGAGTTACATGTTATGCTTTTCTGAATAAATATAAGAGGTAAACTACTTTCAAAAGATTTGTTTGACTCACTGGATATGGGATAATATTGGTACAGAGAATCTGATTTGATAAACACTTCATATTTCACATAAGGTTTTAAAAGAGAGTATTGCCTTGTTCAAACTAGAGCTAATTATTACATACACAGTAATTCTGTGAGTAAGGTGTTAAGCTGCTGTTAACATGAAATCAGCTATGGTGGGAATTACTTATACCACAGAAATTGGCAAATGTTATAAATCAGAGGCTTTCACTTTCTTTTCTTTTTTTTTTTTTCTCATCTATAGGCACACCACTGGATGCTGACCCAAATACAAACTCTAAAATACTGGACTTTTAAGCCTATTACAGGAATCTGAAGGTTTTTTATTTCATTTTAACATGCAACATTATCAGACTAATGAAAATATATTATGAATAAGTACAGTAAGTGGTGTGTTCATTTGAGTCTATGAGCATTCAAACAAACAAAAGTATACTGTCACATTATAAAAATACATATTATATAAACTTGCAATCATGGTTGTATGCATTTTACATTGGTCCTTTTAAATGAACTGAAAAAATAAAGACAAACATAACACACTGATAATCATTTACTACTAAAGTTTTAAGCACATAGAATATAGGAAAGTATTATAAAAAGGAACAAAGCTAAGTTTTCACATGACTCAGGAATCCTGGCTTCATATAGTACAAAATAAGATCAGCAAAAGCATGTTTTCAAAATAGTATACATTAGTTCATTTTAATCTGTTTACATTTTAGATCAAAAACTTTATTTATTGTCTCTCCCTATTAGGTCACAAGCCTTAAAAATCACATGATGTGTAATAGGGATTCAATCAATAGAAAATAAAAAATACAGATGGACCCACAATGTTGTAAAACCAGATATCAGTGTCTTCTGATTCTCCAGAAAGTGAGCATATAGGGAATGTATTTCAGCATAATAAAGGCCATATATGACAAATCTACAGCTAACATCATACTCAAATGTAAAAAGCTGAAAATATTCCCTCTAAGATTAGGAACAAGACAAAGATGTCCATACTCTCATCACTTTTAGTCAAAACAGACTAATTCACTGAGGAGAGGACCACAGTCCTTAGAGAAAGCATACTGCTACTTGGCCATGAACATATATATGGAGCTTAATAAAAATTTATTGGTTCTTTCCCTTTCCTATAAAGGTTATGTTTTAAATTTTCTTCATTGTTTTAGAAGTTCACCAAACTAGAAGCTAATTTAAAATTGAACAAATATGTCTAGAATCTCACATTTCTTCTGCCTTCAGTTCTTTTTCTCCCATGTTCACCTATTACAATAACATCAATATTGCAAGGCCCAGCTCAAATCCATCAACTGTAATACCATTTGTGATTCCTGCTCCCTCTCTTCTCCAACCTAGATTTGCTCTCTCCCTCCTCTAAATTCATGTAAAGCTTGATGGATTGCTATGCATCACAGTCTGTGTTGTTATGCAAGTTAAATGTGCACTTGTTCATCTAGAATTTAGGTTGTGGGTCTTGGAAGTCAGGAACCACATCCTAATTATTTCCCATATTGCCCTATATGATGTCTACATATTGAGTATAATGTTTGTTGAATAAATGGAGGAACAAAGGAACAAATCAAGGGTTTCCCTGATTAACTATACTATTTGATTCTATACACCCTTATATTATCTTCTCCACAAAAGGAAAAATGTATTACAAAACTTAGTTCTTGTTATACTTGGAGGGCAAAAGGATCATGTGACAAACTAATAGGAAACACAAGGAAGATTATAAAATATTTGCACAGATGTACAGAACAGACTTTTGGACTCTGTGGGAGAAGGCGAGGGTGGGATGTTTCAAAAGAACAGCATCGAAACATGTATATTATCTATAGTGAAACAGATCACCAGCCCAGGTTGGATGCATGAGACCAGTGCTCGGGCCTAGTGCACTGGGAAGACCCAGAGGAGTCGGGTGGAGAGGGAGGTGGGAGGGGGGATCGGGATCGGGAATACATGTAACTCCATGGCTGATTCATGTCAATGTATGACAAAACCCACTTCAATGTTGTAATTAGCCTCCAACTAATAAAAATAAATGAAAAAGAAAAAGAAAAAAATATTTTTGCTTCATTACCCAATGGTCCCGAAAATTTGAAAAATTTTATTCTAGAATATGATAATGATAAAACTCCAATACTTTGACCACCTGATGCAAATAACTGACTCACTGGAAAAGACCCTGATGCTGGGGAAGATTGAAGGCAGGTGGAGAAGGGGGTGACAGAGGATGAGATGGTTGGATAGCATCACCGACTCTATGGACAATAGTTTGAGTAAGCTCTGGGAGTTGGTGATGGACAGGGAAGCCTGGAATGCTGCAGTCCATGGGGTTGCAAAGAGTCGGACATGACTGAGCGACTGAACTGAACTGAATACTATAAATTATCATAAGAATTTGTTTAATGTTTCACAATTTTAAACTATTTTACTCATATTACCTCCAGACAGCCAATGAAATAGGTAGGATAGATTATGACTTTTATTTTACAGTTGAGGAAAAAGTCGAGGAGCGTTAATTTTTATATCCAAGGTCATTCAGATATTAAGCAGCAGAATCAGAATTGAAATTCAGGTCTTTTTAACTATAAATCTTTAATGATATATAGTATTCCACAACTGTCTCACAAACACCAAGAAGTTGCAGTGTTTACTTTGTTTCACCCCAGTGATGGGAGTGGATTTTGCACATTCTTCTGCTCTCTCTTTATCTGGGCACACCTCCCACAGACTGTGCTCATGAATACAAGACAGGATGCTAGAACTAAAGGTAGTATCTGTGGTCATTGAATGAAAACAAATGACAATAAGAAAAACACCTTAGCAGGCCTAGTCAGAAATCAAACTCATCAATACATTATGCTAAGCAACTGAGTTAATGAGCTGTATGTTTATACTTAAGAATTCATGGAATTATTATTATTTTATCAAAATATACATGTTATTAATAACTTTATCCTCTTCTAAATTACGATTCTTACCTTTATAACTGAGGCCCCAGCTCTGGAGAGTGGACTGTGAATCTGGGATGCAGCAGCCATGTTGGCAATAGTATTGAGATGGTTCATCTGATTCATTGCCATGGCAACTGATGCAGGAGGTAAGCTGACTGGAAGTAGGGGATGCGGCATCATCATAAATGGCAGATCCAGTCCTAAAAGAGACAGTCCATGTTAAATTATCATATTAGTTACATTATTTGGACAAAGGGAAATCATATCAAAATTGATGCTATTAAATAGTGAAAAAAAGTCTTCACTCTTGTTGAATTTTAAGTGATTTTATCATATCCTAGTATCTACTTGAGCAATTAATAGCATCTATGGAATTTAACATGGTTTTATAATTTAAAAATGCACCTATATTCAGACTTTTATTTAACAATATTCCTTGTTCTTGCTCTCACTTCCAAAATATTTATTTATAAGGTTCAAATTTTTACTCATAAAAATAAACAAAAATCTTTAAGCTGAACATCATTGTGTTTAATAAAAAGAAGCAACTTTCTTTTTAAACATTATAGTGTAATGATGTGTTGATTGTTTCTGGCTTAACTCTTTCTTTAGGAGACATAATAGTGGTACTGGTATGATAAGATGTATATTCTTTAGGCTTCAAAATTATTGAAGAAAATAAGACTTGGAATATGTCCTACCCTTTTAGCTATAAATCTCTAAAATGAATGCTTATAGTTCTAATTTGAAGACTTTGTCCATCCTCTATCAAAATATCAACCCATTTTCCAGTTTAATAACAAATATCCACATTTTTGAGTAGTCTCAAGAATTCTATTTGTTTTATTATGCAAAAAGAAATATTTTTCACATATTTTAAATTTCTTAAAGAATATCTTTCAAATATTATCCATATAACACTTGTGGTAGTCACAGATATGTCATTATGAAAAAAAAAAGTAACAAATTAAAATAGTTGTCTGCTTATCCTTAATAAGGTTGGTATTTGTGAGGAAACACCTTTGAGTAGAGGCTAGGGAAAGTTGGCCTAACACTACGGATGTTAACATGACTACAATAAGTAAACCATAGCACTTTATAATGTATTTTAAACTATTGTCTTGGCAGTAATCTTGCCTTTTTTGGACATGATCCCAGAAACAAGTAATCCTTAGCAGATGTTCTAAAATGTGCTCCCCTGTAATTTTCCTAAATTATTATAGGCTATTGAAATTCAACTATGGTCAATGTTTATGTTCATCTTACACACAATTATCAAATGTCAATAACATCCCTTTCTCCTCTTTGCATCCCATCATTTTTTCTTGTTTCCAATATCACAACAACAAGTGTACAATGAATCTGTAGGAAATATATTCAGAAGCCTCTTAAATCTCATTCCTCAAAACAACAGTAACAGTAATACAAAGGACACAAACAGGGCTAGAAGGAAGAATGCTGTAAATAAATCTCCTGGGCTCAATAAAGATGGTTGAATTAAAGTAATTAACAAAGTATTCAAAAGTAGCACAATGAAACAAACTCCTAGATATGACAGGTCTCACATTAAAGTGATCACTCGATTAAAGAAATTCCTAAACAAAGACTACAACAGTCATCAATATTTCTGATAAAGACAGACACAAAATGTACTGTTGTCAGAATTATTCAAGGATAAAAAAGCTAGAAACAAGTTTTCTGTGGAATCCAAGAAGGGAAACATTTCTATACTTCCTATGACTCCAAATCCCCAAAGAGTATTAATAAAATATTTTAAACTTTTCCCCATAACTTCATTTATGGCTCACCCTCTGAATCGCTTTTAGGAGCAATCTATTAGAACAGACATTGCAGATTTGAAACCTTTTTCCTGTGATTACTAATTTAAAGTCTCAATACAGTGCAAACACTGAATTCAAAATGGATTTCTGTGTCCCCTTTTAAATTATTTTATTTTCAGTTAACTTTACAAAATTATCTAGATGTATATTCATTTTATGCTTTACCCATCATGCAGCTTTGCTATAATGATGGGATATTCCATAACATAAATTAATCACTATTTATCTCTCTCTAAAATCTTCACCTCATGTTCAACATAGTAGCAACCATCAATAACCTTCACCTTATGTTCAACATAATAGCAACTATCAATAACCCGTTTATATAAGGTTAACATTTACCACAAACCCAAGATAATTATGGACTTCCAATTCTTCTTTGTATAGTCAGTATTTTAATAGAAAATTGATCAAACTATAGGCAAAAAGTAGCCATCAGTGTCTCCATTTTTCACTCAAATGATTACACTTTTGTGACTTTATACTTCTGTTAACAGTATAATAATCTTTCCTCATCCTTGAAAGGTTTCCAGCATCATCCAGATACCATTTGGCCATATCAAGTCATATGCCTACTTAAAGTCCAATTGACATGCAAACTACATGCAAACCACAAACAGAATTTAACAGCCATTGACAGTTTTAAAATATAATTCATTCAAACATTTCAAATAACCATGAAGGACTTAAAAGTCACAACTTCAGATCATGACCAATAATAACTAACCATCAATTGACTATAATATCCTGGAATTTAAGCTAATATTTATATTACACGTGAGTTTAACAGTGACCCCACTTGAGATGCACATGCAAAGCATATGCAAATACTGAGTTATGCAAGTCAAACTTTTCCCAAAGCTGAAAACATTAAATTAAGAGCCATCAATAATATATACAATTCCAGCAATCTGGCTCGTTGAGTTACATGTCAGAAATGTACAGAGACTTTTAATAGAATGGTAATGAAGACAAACTCTTCTTAAAAATCACTAAAATGTGTTGTTTTTTTGTTCCTGTCAATCACAAGGACATCAGGTGTACTACTATAAGCACTCTTTGTAATTCATCTTGGTATTGTGTCGACTCCTATAACTTTTATGTAAGTGCATGGCACCACCTCCTTTCAGTAATTAAGGCTACAAATTTCATAATACTCTAATCTTCCCTCTAAAATTACACATACATTCAGTTTCCAAGTCATTGTCAGATGTAATATCTTGTATTCTACAGTCAGGCACCAATCCCGTCATGCCTAGATGGTAAACTGTCTTCCTGGTTGGTTTTCCTATACCATTATTTTCATTTTCACTTCAATTTTAAAGACTTTAAGTGGCTATTCATTATCTCCAGAATAAAATAGAAGCTCTTTGGTTTCATATGAATTTAACTTTCTAGCTTTGATATCTCACTATATTCTTCTATGTATGCTCTACTCTATCCCCTCTGGACCAGCTGCAGCTCTCCACAATTTTAATTCATCTTAGCCTTCACTTTTTCTTTTCTTTTCTCATTATTATTTTAATTTATTTATTTTAATTGGATGCTAATTACTTTACAATGTTGTAGTGGTTTTTGCCATACATTGACATGAATTAGCCATGGGTGTACATGTGCTCCCCATTGTGAACCCCCCTCTCACCTCCTTCCCCATCCCATCCCTCAGGGTTGTCCCAGTGTACCAGCTTTAAGTGTCCTATTTTATGCATCAAACTTGAACTGGTCATCTATTTCACATATGTTAATATACATGTTTCAATGCTATTCTCTCAAGTTATCCTACCCTTGCCTTCTCTCACAGAGTCCAAAAGACTGTTCTTTATATCTGTGTCTCTTTTGCTGTCTCGCATATAGGGTCATCATTACCATCTTTCTAAATTCCATATATATGTGTTAATATACTGTATTGGTATTTTTCTTTCTGACTTACTTCACTCTGTATAATAGGCTCCAGTTTCATCCACCTCATTAGAACTGAAAATGCAAGCCTTCACTTTTGTTGATTTTTCTCTCTGAAATTTACCACTCTAACCCTATTTATTTGAATATGGCAAGAGTTCTCATTTATTTTAATCAACTGACTTTATTTTTAGAACAGTTTTAGGTTTACAGAAAAAATGAGCAGAAATCAGAGAACTTCCATATACTTCCTCTCCACCAGCAGTACACATCATGTACTAGTGAGGTACACTTGCTGCAATATATGAATCAATATTGATACACTATTATTAACTACTATCCATAGTGTACAACAGAGTTAATTCTTTGTGTTACAAATTCTATGGCTTTTCACAAATGCGCAACATCATGTATCTACCATTACAGTATCATACAGACTACTTAGTTTCACTGCCTTAAAAATCTCTTCTGCTCCATCTATTCACTCCTCCTCTTAAACTTGGCTTTTAATGTCTCTATAGGTTTGCCTTTTCCTGAATGCCATATAGGTGGAATCATACAGTATTTACTCTGTCCATACTGGCTCTATTTCACTTGGCAATATGCACTAATCTTTTCTAGATTTCATAGTTCATTTGTTCTTGTTGCTAATTATTGTTCCATGGCATAGATATACCACAGTTGTTTACTCATTCAACTATTGAAGGACACCATGGTTGCTTTCAAATTTTAGCAATTATGAATAAAGTTGCTCTAAACATTGGTATGTAGACTTGTTTAGACATAACATTTTAATTCATTTGGATAAACAAGGAGACTCTATTTAGCTTCATGAGAAAGCACCAAATGTTTCCAAATTGCTGTGCCATACTGCATTCCCACCAGCAATGAATGAGAGTTCTTGTTGCTCCATATCCATACCAGCAATTAATGTTGATGGAGTTCTGGATTTTAGCCATTCCAATAGGTGTGCAGGGGTAGCTCATTTTTGTTTAATCTGAACTTTTCTAATGGCATATGATGTTGAAAATATATTCATATGGCTATATGTCATCTGTATATTATATTTGATGAGGGTCTGTTCCAGGTCTTTAACACGATTTTAACTGGATTCTTTTTTTAAATTGAACTATAAGTGACTTACAATATTAGATTATCTTCAGGTGTACACTTAGTGATTTTATATTTTATAGTTTACACATAAACTATATTTATATATTGTATAGTTTAATACAACATTATTAAAAAATATTGATTCTATTTGATGTCCTGTTTGTTACATCCTTAAAACATTTATTTTCTAACTTATAGTTTGTACTTCTTAATCCCTTTCACCTATTTTGTCCTTCCAGCAATGCCTATCCCTTGTGATAACCACTAGTTTGTTCTCTGAATCTGCTAGTCTGTACCTGTTTCTAATACTTGTTAATTTGATTTTTAAAAATTTCACATTTTGATAT